TTCCAGCAAACGGACATAGGACTGAGCAGTTTATTAACCGACAATTCCCGATAGATGGACGTCGGAGCCGGTTATTTAGGGTTTTCACCTGGCAGTGGAAGAAGTCATCGCACTTCACGGGTTAGCTGCCGCCCGCCCAAGCTTGGAAACCGACAAGATGTTATCTCGTCGGCGTTTGGTTTGTCTTATTGCGTGCGTGTAGCTAAGGTCTGATCTCGAACAGTAGACCGTCTGTCAACGTACCAGCGAACAAAACACGACCAAAACCCGGAGGCCCCACGTGGCACGTCTCTGTAAGCTCCCAAACGGGTGCTTCTCTCATACTCTGCGTTGGATCCACCTCCCATCGTCTCAGACCGTCTGACCGTCAACACAGTCCCGTTGTTATAGATCTACCGATGGGTTTCCGAACGGAAGAGTTATTTATTGAAAGAATAGCACGTGTAGGAGGCGACGTCGGGTTATACAAAACCCAATATTCAATTTGGCACTAAGCAATCACTTTCTCACGAAGGAATTCGGATTGGAGGTTCAACAATTTTGTTCACAATTTTCCGCTAAGCAAATAGTCTATTGTTCTGCTTATGCTCCAAAACGTCATGAGGAGCTGCAGACGATTTTATTGTGCGCGCATCAAAATGCTACTCACATACAATGTGAGTAGCACCGTGATCCACTTGTCCCAAATTATCCACACATGACCAGAACCTGACAACAATTAGTTGCAGCCGCATCATTGTACTATTATTCATATTCATGCTATTATTCACGTTTTTGTTATTACACAATGTGAATTACTGTAAAAGGGGAAATCCCTATAGACAAATAGCATTCTGCAAAAAGGAGAGTGGGGGAACATTCACGTTAGATCCAGTTTATTGATTCTGCGTTTAAAGAGTGTAAGATTGTAAGTTGGAAGAAAAACAGGAAGTGGGAGGGTGTTCCACAGCTTGGAAATTCGGGGAAAAAAGAAGATTGCAGCAGAGAAGTACGACATCTCTGAACAGAAATCTGATAAGGATGACTAGATGCCTGTGTACGGGATGGGCGGGTAAAAGTTGCAGGAAGAGGAACTGCCGAGGCAAGTTCCAAAGAACAAAAAATAAGGTAGTAACGGTAGAACAGGGACAATGAAGCAAATGCCCTACGATGGGCTAGCGACTGTCGACTGGATGTTAGGGAAGGATCATCGATTAGTCGGATGGCCTTTCGTTGAACACAATCAAGAAGGGAAAGAGAAGACGAAGCCCCACCCCACACGTGACTACAGTATTCAATAGCAGGGCGGATTTGAGCTTTGTACAGTAGAAGATGAACTGGAGTACAAAAACTTCTGGCGCGAAATATAAATCCAACTTTGCGCACAGCACGAGAAACAAGCTTAGCTATAAAAAGGGACTAGCATAAAGAAGTCATAGGCAGTCCAAGAAGGGAACAGAGTCTGTGGAACGC